TTATTTGTTCTTTATTTTCTAGAAGTAGAGTTAAAAACCTTGCTGTATTTTTGTGTAGTTAATTAAGAGAAGGTAAACCGCCATCTTTCTCCGACGAAAGTGACCTGAACATTGTAAACATGACTTCCAAACTTGTAAATACAAACTTCTCAGGAGGACTTGAATGCACTAACAATACGACCACTTAGCAACCTCCAGCAGTAAAATCACGATTGTCTTTATTTCTACTTGTCACATTCCTTGCTGCACGAATCTTATTAGAGCAACAGAGGCAGACCGAAAGTGAACCAGGTGGATCATTTTTTCCAGAAATGTTCTCATGAGATGATTGGGAATGAATTTCCCATGTCTAACTGCAGATGTTCTTCCATTGAGCCAAACAGCGCTTAACTGTGCAAAGGTGGACTGCGATCATTTTGTAATGAATTCTTGTCTGCACAGATCACATTATTCAGTCATCAATCAGTAGGGGAGTTTAGACAACTGTGGCTATATGGAGGAGACTGAAGGGACAGTCAGAGGCGTGTAAGAGCGATCGATGGTTTAGAGGCAGGCCGTTGAGATGAGTAATCTGGTAGACTTGTGAGAACCGGTGACAGGGCGATCTGCGGTTAAATCTGAGCACATCACTGCATTCCTCTGTGCTTTCCCATCATAAACTCAACACCCGCTGTTACCCCTCCCCTAGATCCCTGTCTACCCCCTGCAGGCATGGTGAAACCTGCCGGTGTCCTTATCACGATTCATATAATTAAATATATACAAGTGGAGATGGAAAAGTGGGTCTTAGTGTGCAATAACGATAACTCGGAAAAAGAATGATCTTTGGAAAATGTGTGTGTGTGATCAAAAGTTAATTTTTTTTAAAGAAGTTTATGCTAACCAATGCATATTAGTGTCAACATAGTGATTTCTGATGGATGATTTGACACTAAAGACTGGACTAAATATATAAAATATATATTAAAATATTAATAGATACAAATACTCTTTTGTTCCGAGTGCAATTAGACTACTAAATAAGTCTTAAAGGTATTTATTAAGGTTTTTATATTTTTTTATTCTATATTTTATATATTCATGCTATTTTGAAATGTTTAATATGTATTACTATTATGATGTACTGCGTGTGTCAGTTTGTGTCTGTCTATCTGTGCTGCATCCAAATTGCCCATAAGGGATCTTAATAAAGTATGAACTGACTTGGACTAATGTTTGATGAAAATTAAGCCATCACAGAAATAAATAACCCACATTCAAGAATGCATTAAGCAAGAATAAAATGCTTTTGAAAGAAAATGACCTGTTCTTTCGATATATTGCATGTTCAGATATTCATACAACAAAATAGTCTGAGACATGAACATTTTGTTTAAAAAAAAATATCACAAAATGCTGCCGCTATCTGGCAACTTTTCCTTTTAAACGCTGACGGGGAAACCGTTATTTTAAATTATAATATTTCACAATATTACAAATTTCAATATATTTTTGTTTAAACAAATGCAGCTTTGGCGAACATAAGCAAATTATTTCAATGTTTATAAAAATACATATATTAAAAGATTATTCCAAACTTTTGACTGGTAGTGTAGTGGGGATAGATACTGAATCCAACAAACATGTATGATTTTTTTGTTTTTTTTATCAGCATTAATGCCTCAAAATGTTGTACTTTTTTGAGTTTGAGGTTAGATATGATTTGACTTGTTGACTGATTCACCCAAAAATACTGATTATAGTGAAATTACCAAGAGGGAGAGAAAACTAAAGTTGCAGAGCACATATATCAGAAGAGCTTCACGAGACTTTGAGGCGTGACAGCGGTCGAGAAAAGCTTCAAGCATGTGTGTTGTTTCACACTGACCTCTGTGACCTGTGCCCAACTCAGCATCTACACACTTACTCATCATGCCTTACACAACGGCAAACACAAATGACTCAGCAGCGCGCAAATAGGGAAGTAAAGTCATGTCATCATCATCATTAAATATTGTCAGGATCAATTGATGGTTTAATATTTATTTAGGATTTGCACACCGTGATGTTATTTGTTCCCCTGATTTGTGTACAAAGTTACAACCTTTGGACTTAGTACTAGCATTGAAGAGTATGACGGCACCCCCTGCTGTCATATTTTGTTTTGTAAAAATTCAGTGTATTTCTGTTCAAATGCATTATGAGCATCGATGCCACAAACTGAACTAAAAATACTCTCAACAGGGAGCAGGCGACAGCTTCATTGGTGCTCTGGCTTTCTACATGGCCCAATATCCCACAATGCCGCTGGAAGAGATGGCCAGGAGAGCCAACCTCGTGGCAGCAGTGTCTGTTCAGACGGTCGGCACTCAAACATCTTTTCCATTTCAGAAGGATCTGCCAACTGAACTATTCTGAAGGTGACACGCCAAAGACAACAACAGCACCTCCATTAATCTGTGCACAGTGTCCACAGAATTACTGTGTGTGTAATAAACAATACCAAGTACTGGAGAGTTCTTCATGATGTCATTTCCTAGCAATTATTCATTTGTTAATGATTATATCATCTCACAATTCTGACTTTTTTGTTTTCTTAGAATTGCGAGTTTATTTCACGTAATTCGGAGAATTCTTTTTTTTAATTGTGAGATTAACCCTTGTGTTCTGTTCGAATTCTGTGTACTCCCCATATGGACCGGGTCAAATTGACCCTAATTGGATTCAATACAATTCCTCAAAAATCACACTATGAAAAACAACAAAGATTTAGATACAAACTGTAAACTTTTAAAATCAACATTTGTCAAACATTACAAAAACATTATATCTGAAAATATGATTTATGAAAATGTTTTAAAAACATTTTTTAAAACAGTTTTGTTTTGACAAAATTGGAAAATAAACAGTATACTGATTTTTTTGCATATATTTTTTTTTTTTTTTTTTTTTTTTTTTTTTTACATTTTATGCTTTGAACATCGTAACTGAACAAAAAAAAATTGCTGTATAATGAAAAGTTTTCATTTTCCTAAGTTAACTTTCCCTAGTTTCCTAAGACCTATTTTCCTAGTTTCATTATTCACTCACTGGGAAGTGAGAAACCAAACATAACAAAAACATACATCAAATAAATGTTTTTTGTTTATTTTTTGGCTCTGTGAATCTGCCTTTGAAAATCCTACATAAAAGTTTTGGTTAAAAGCTAGGTATTTTAGATATTTTGAATATTGAAATGAGAGCTTATTTTACTATCTGTGTCTGACAAAGATTTTCATCTGTAATTTGCAAATAATTCTGAACACTGTAATTTTATCTTTTTTAAGTGTGTTTGGTTAGGGTTATAGCACTTTTAGATGCACTTGCACGTTAGAACTGGAGTTGAAGTGCCCTGACATACAGAAAATAAATGTTTTTATTTTGTGTCTGTACAGTTGCTTTTGAATGGCTGCCTATGAGGGTCAAATTGACCCGCGAACATCACGAACGTAACAGTAATTTTGTTTGTATATGTCAAAACATCAGCATGTTGAAACTTTGCATGCATGTTCATCATGATAAATAAGAAAAAGGCACAAAATATCAAGAAAAAAAACAAAGGTTAACCAGTATTTCCAACAACTTGAAAATCGAAACGGGTCAAATTGACCCGCAACATAACACAAGGGTTAAAAAGTTGCAATTACCTTTTTAATTTTTTTATTCAGTGGTGGAAAGAAGCTTCCATACTTTACACAATTCACTATTAAAAGGTTAGTTCACCCAAAAATGAAAACTCTGTCAGTAATTACTCGCCCTCATGTTGTTCAACCCCGTAAGACTTTCGTTCATCTTCGGAACACAAATTAAGATATTTTTAATTAAATCTGAGAGCTGGATCACTCCTCCATAGGCTTCTTAAGGGATCGAAACTGGCCGGCCCAAAAGTTATGAAAGACATCGTTAAAATAGTCCGAGTGACTACAGTGGCTCAATCTTAAGTTTATCAAGCGACGAGAATACTTTTTGTGCGCAAAAAACAAACAAAAATAACGACTTTATTCAACTAATCATTTCCTTCTCTGTTCGGCCATGATATTTCACGTAGTGATATTGCGCAAAGCTTCTAGGTTGCACGTCAGACGCAGGCTCACTATTGGCTGACGCTGGTCATGTGTGTGATGCGTGACGTACAACCTAGAAGCTTTGCGTAGTTTTTGTTTGTTTTTTGCGCACAAAAAGTATTCTCGTCGCTTGATAAACTTAAGATTGAGCCACTGTCGTCACTCGGACTATTTTAACGATGTCTTTCATAACTTTTGGGCCGGCCAGTTTCGATCCCTTAAGAAGCCTATGGAGGAGTGATCCAGCTCTCAGATTTAATCAAAAATATCTTAATTTGTGTTCCGAAGATGAACGAAAGTCTTACGGGGTTGAACAACATGAGGGTGAGTAATTACTGACAGAGTTTTCATTTTTGGGTGAACTAACCCTTTAGGAGATTTATATATTGTTCAGTTTTGTTGAGAGCAAGAGTAAGTTCATCTCAAAAGGCAGAACTGGGAGAAAGTTTAGGAATTGAAGTAATGGTCTGTTTGTTGTAATCGAGAGTACACAGTTCTCAATGAAGATAAGAACAGTTGTCATAGTGAAAATGTCTATATACGTAAGAAAGCACAAGCAGCACAGGTGTTTCGTATGTTTGAATTGCTGTTATTTTTGTGGTAACAATTATGTACACAGATCTCTTTTTTGTTTGTACAAAATACATCTTGCTGGCTAATTATTCCAACAAATTCAGCCTAAAGCGATCTGTCATTGAGTAGGTGGTTCATTGTTTGCAGTAGGTCAACATTTTGCCTTGGTAGAAGAACGGAAACAAAAGAACTGAACGAATCCAACATAATAGACTTCTTGTAATGGTCTTAACAACACATTATCCTGCCAGGATGTGCAACTGGTCTCTGGTCTCATTACACCAGTTATCCACAGCTGCAGTGATGCCGGCTCTTTGATTTGATGGAAATCTTCTTGTCATAGTTGATCACCACACTGTGGCCAATAACACTTTAAAAGTCCTTTTTCTCAGTGTCTGTATCACAAGTTTTTAAAGAGAGCGTATCTTCCTCTTCTCAAAGAACAGAACATGTTTGTTCACTGTGGAGAGCAATGCAGAGAAAAGAAAAAAACATTAACTGAAATATGTAACAAGCGCTGAAAAAGACAGAAATCATGCAATCACATTATGGGATCACAATTATTCTATAGATAATCCTGGAAAAAAATAGGCGATGACAAACAAGTGTATGGAAAAATATTTAGGTAACACTTTGCAATAAGGTCTCATTTGTTAACATTTAGTTAATACATTAGCTAACATGAACAAACAATGAACATATATGTGTGAACATATATATATTAGGGCTGTCAAATGATTAATCACATCCAAAATAAAAGTTTTTGTTTACATAATATATGTGGGTGCACTGTGTATAATTATTTTATATATATATATAAATACACACACATGCTTGTATATATTTAAGAAATATTTTCATGTATATACTGTATATAGATTTATATAGAATTTATATTATATATAAATATAAATATTTTATATATAAATAATATTTTTTTCTTAAATATACATGCATGTGTGTGTATATATATATATATATATATATATATATATATATATATATATATATATATATATTAGAGGTGGGCATAGATTAATTTTTTTTATCTAGATTAATCTAGATTAAAATGGCTCATTTGAATTCTCCCGAAGGCATTCAGAATGTGTGCTACCCAAATAATGACTAAAAGTAAGTCTTTGAGAATAGTTTGCCTCGCATAGGGATGTGCATTTCTGCAAAAAATGCCATTCGACAATCGAGGAGCAAAAGTCGAATATCGTAAAAAAAAACAAAAAAAAACCGCAATGATAGAAAGGGAGGCCAATTTCATCTTTAGCGATTTGTCATCAAACAAACTGTTTATCAATTGAACAAGTAACATGTTTTCATCCTTTTTTTTTAACATAGTAGGATAATTGGAAGAAGAAAAAAAACAATACGCACGACAGTCCGTTTTTGCATCGCCAATGCTCGTTAGATCAAAAAATAATGTCATCATGTGTCATAAGAATTTTATGTGAACCTGCCTTGTTACTGCAATAGCCTCATTTTTAAACAAATTAGTTTCAATCAATGTAAACTATTCGTGTGATTATGCCACTGCGCAATACACACACAATGTATTACCTGAATGAAATGAAATCGAATGTATCGTCCTGTGGAATCATTCATTCACAGACAGCTTACGAAGATGTTCAACTAATAAAGATCTTCATCGCTGGCAAAAATATGATGCATTTGCAGATTTGCATTCACTAGACTGTACTGTAGATCGGCCACTTCATCCAACGCTCTTGATGCTCTTAAATCTTCCTGTTTCGACTCCGAGTGTGAATTGAAAGCGCTTTAGACGATTCAGTGCACGAGGAACTGAACAGATCAACTGATTCGCGAACCGATTTAGACAGATCATCTGACAACTTGTTTGATGAAGTCTTTGAACAGAATCGACTCAAAAGAGTGATTCATTTGTAAATGAGCATCGCTCATGCCCATACAAAGGACACAGCGCGCTTGGAATAAACTCATTTAACAACGTATTGCATTAAAATAAAGTAACGAGAGGAACGTCGCCCAACGTAACAAAGTAAAAGTACACCTTGTGTCCCTGACAGGAAAATACCCTAGATCTGTGACAGTAGGCACGGCGTCATACTACACATTAGAATTGCGCGAAAATATAACGATATTCGAAAAAGCTATTTATGATCCCAACCCAACTTTGATTAACGGCGATATTTTTTTTATCGCCCGATAAGAGTCTCACGTTAACGCAGCACGTTAACGCCGATAACGGCCCAGCACTAATATATATATACAAAATAATTATACACAGTGCACCCACATATATTATGTAAACAAAAACTTTTATTTTGGATGTGATTAATCACGATTAATCATTTGACAGCCCTAATATATATATATATATATATATATATTATTTGAGTTTTATTCATTCTTGTTTATGTTAATGTTACCAACATTAATAAAAATACAATTGTTCATTTTAGTTCACAGTGCAGAACTAATGTTAACCGATACTTTTAAAAATGCATTAGTAAATGCTAAACATCAGATGCATCATGAAATCAAGTTGATGATCCTTATTTTTTTATGTAATATTGCAGTATTTATTACAAATGATTTATCCATGCACATTATATATATTTTTTTAATGTGCCCATTCATTATGGATCAAAATAACTTCCCCTCCCTCTTGCATATCTCTTCTCTGAAGAAGAGATAGGTCAAAATAGGGAAGAAAAAACTATCACAACTTCTGTTTCATGCGACGTTAAATAGATTTGCACCAGCAACCGGACATTTTTTTTTTTTTTGCTCGATCTCTGTTCCGGACCAAATATAATTTGTGTGGAAATATTTCTAAGTCTGTAAACAGGCCTATAACACAGTCCAGAGGCGGGACACGCTGAATACAGACGCAAAGAGGAGAGCAAATACTGTACCAGGCACAGCAAGCTCACTGTGTTCACGATGCTCAGGTACGTACATGCACTTCAGCAGCCAATGAGATTGCTTGGTCAACATTTAAATAGTCTGGTTCAGTGTTCGGTGTAGTCTAGTCCCCCAGCGGGACGTCAGAGTTCCTCTGAAAGCCTCCACCTGTCTAGATCTGCTTCTTATGTTATGTACTGTATTTGGGTAGGTCTAGCAGCATATCTTACATGCTCACAGCAGTGTGTCTATTAGCAGTTAAAGTCCATAATCAACACCAGCAGATCATAAAGACCAAATAAATCAACATTGCCATTTTCATTAATATGCTAAAACTATTCCAAGAGTTTTACTGACCTAAGATTAATCCTGTAAATGTATTGTTCAATTTAGTTAAACTAATATAGATGCCTAATGTTAACAACTAATGAAACCTTAATGTAAAGTGTTACTAATACTTATTTTCTATGTGTTTATCTTCTTCCTTGGGACATACATATGTTCAGGAACAGTTTGCATATCTGTTGTATCTCGTTCACTGGAGGTTTAGGGCAATATTAAAATGGTTATGGGATGATGTTTATTATATATAAAAAAAGTGGTATATTATCACCAAAAAATTATTTTAAGCCAACTGTTTATATATTTTTCTGCAGTGTGTCAGTAGGAAATATCAGTTCGCATTACCAAACATTCATTTTGCTATTAATTGTAATAATCCAGTGAGATTTTTATAAGCACAAGGAGTCTTACAACAGCCGGTGTGATCTGATCTGATCATTGAGTCTGTCTGTGATAACATGAAGAAACGGAAAAACTGAAACAGACTAAATCCAGAAGAACTGTGGAAACGTCTCCAAGACACTTGATGAAACCGACCTGCAGATCTACAGTACTGGGAAACGGTTTTAGGCACTTAAAGCTGCAGTCCGTAGCTTTTTCCCTTTTTGTCGCCATCTCTGTTCGAAATCTGTAACTGCAGTGATTCGCGGAATTATCATTTTTACGTGGGTTGTAAATCGGCATGAAACAGCGCGGATGAACACAGTGCTTTGAGGCGAGTGCTGCTGTGTGGATACTGTCATTCAGAATCACAGATTCACTTTTTGAAAGCTTGACCAACATAAGAATTTTCATAAGAAAATGTCTTCTGAACAAGTAAAATCCATTTTTGTTCTGATCAACTAAGGGGGGAAAAGCATTCGACATGACAAGCGATCGTTAGATTTAATCAGCGCGATTTACAGCAACCGTGCAAATTATAGCCTACTTTGTTCTCAAATTGTTCATGTTAACAACATCATCATTGCGTGACTAACGTTATTTAATGTGTTTTATGATTACCTGTGTAGTTCAGAATTCATATTCTCCATAATAGCAAAACGAGAAAGGCACAACAAAGAAAACTCCATAACTGTGTGAATTAAGAAAACGTACTGTTACACGATTGAACTATTGAAATGTCTTACTTGTTCAGCAGAAAAAAGCCGTCTCTTCTTCCGTTTCGAACCCCTTCGGGAGTTCACGCACCTTTCAAAAGCCCCACCGATGTGTATCCTTGTGTTCGCATGAGACGGTTTCTTTCTCTTTCCACCTTAAATCCGAAGTACGAAATCTTTTGGGTTTTATAACTGGTTAATCTCCAGTTGACACTGATGATTGTTGTCTGGATCTTTCTGGATCCGCCATAAGTTTAATCATGTAAAGTGCTGCGAGAAAAGCCTATCTCTACATCTCGTCGCGCGCAGTATAGCCGGCTAGCCGAAACTCCTTCTTTATGTGTACGGGTGTGACGTAATGACGCAAAGACATGCTCGAATTTCCCGCGAAAACCCACCATACCACTGGAATTAAAATCATTATTACAAGCTAACCGTTTTGAATCTAGCTATGGCAAGCAGATAGTTTTGAACACTGGCTGAAGATGTTTTTTTTTTTATAATTAATTTGGATTATTTTTAACTTAAAAAAGTTACGGACAGCAGCTTTAAGTAAAAATGCTGTAAAGTGGGGATGCTTTCACAAATAAGGTCTATTTATTTATTTATTATGTCTAAATAAATAGATTTTATTTATCAATTAACTTCTAATAACTAAATCAAATCAATATTTGGTGTGACCACTCTTTGAGTTTAAAACCGCTTTAGTCCGGGTAAACGTGCTCATAGTTTTTTAGGTAGATCTGTTTTCTTTAAGTGTCTTGGAGACGTTGCCACAGTTCTTCCAGCTTTAGTCTGTCTCAGTGTTTTCTGTTTCTTCACACTCGATGATGGTGAGATCCGATCACACCGGCTGTTGTCAGACTCCTTGTGCATATAAAAATCTCACTGGATTATTACAATTAATGGCAAAAAAGGAATATTTGGAAATGTAAACTGATATTTCCAACTGACACACTAGAGCAAAATATATAAATAACTGCCTTAAAACCTTTTTATCTCTGTTTTTGTGTGTGAAAATACTAACGTGCCTAAGACTTTTGCACAGTACTGTATATGTAAATAAAACTAAGTGAATATTCTAATAAAAAAACGGAATTTTCCAGAATATGTGTGAAATTATTTGGCTTTAGCACAACGACAATATAAAAAGCCAATCATGTATAAATATTTTTTTAGTTTACAAGATACAGTACATAACATTTCCATACACAGTATGGGTGTTTTTACATGAATATATATATATATATATATATATATATATATATATATACATATATAGCTGCCTTTATTCTTTGCAATAGGGCCCTTTTCAAAATTATCATCATTTTTTGAGGGTCCTTGAAAATCAGATCAGGTTCTACAATTATAATAACATTGACACAAAAGCACAATATATCATTTTGAGCCACTTAGTTTGTGTTCCTCAAATGAAAATAGGATCTATATGAAGTCAAATTGATGGTTCACCTCACCTATGGGGTCATGCTTTCGCAGAACCAGCTTGTCCCTCAGTCGACCCCTCTTTGTGTTAAAACAGTAACCCGTGCCAGCCGCACTCATCATCTGAACCAGCAGCGTCCTGAAACACACGATTCAAGGTCACAGGAAGAACAAAGCACTGACTTCAGTGTGTCTGTCATAAAAGAAGACTTTAAACCAAGCAACGTCTCAAAACTCATTTTAAATCAAGCATTTAACCAGACTAAAATTCACAAATGTATTTGTTAAACGTTCAACAACAGAACATACTTGACAATGAAATGTATTACACACTGTATAATCTCCGTTTAAAGTCTGATAAATATATGATATTTTTACCAAAATTTAAGGAGATAGGAGGACATAAATAGTTTTTTTCCACACATATTACAGCAGTATATTCTGCATAAGAGTAAAGCACAAGTGTTCACACAGGTTCAGTATGTAATCAGACTGCAATGAGGACGAGGAATACTCACTTCGATTTGCTCTTGGCAACTATATAGAGAAAGAAAGAAAAAGAAACCAAACGTAATTAGCATTAGCAACTAACAGTATGATAACAGTAACGCATCATATGATATGCGTGTGCGTGCTTTATAAACAGATAATCACTAAACAACATCTAAAAACAAATGTTGATGGCATATGTTTGAACTGGGACACACAAATGCTCACATTACACATTTATAGGTGAAACTGCTGGCTAGTTACAGTATTAGCCGCTCCACGACGCGTCTGTTCTGCAGTCTACAACCACTAGTATTATGCAGACAGTGAGGTCTTGCAGATATTCTAGGAGTAAGTTATAGATGTACTCACGGTTCACAGCAGTGAGAAACATTCTTATTCTTTTCTAACAGTTAAGAAATAGGAAATAACCGCTTCGAAATGTCACATTGAGCTCCTGTCACTTAAAGCTTCCGGCTCAATCTCCAGCGCTTCCGGTGTCATGTGCGGCTCTACGTCATCGTCGGAATGGATCCTTTTTTATTACGTATTATTTTTTTATTATTATTGTGTTATGTTATGACAATGATGGACATTGTTGTTAATGTTTATTCTTCAAGCATTTAATAAAAATATATATTATTTGTTGTTTGTTTGTTTTAAAGAATTACATACAGACCATAGACTGTAAAAAAATAGATACAGACCAGGACACATTGCGTATAGATAGATAGATAGATAGATAGATAGATAGATAGATAGATAGATAGATAGATAGATAGATAGATAGATAGATAGATAGATAGATAGATAGATAGATAGATAGATAGATAGATAGATAGATAGATAGATAGATAGATAGATAGATAGATAGATAGATAGATAGATAGATAGATAGATAGATAGATAGATAGATAGAAGCATAATTTCTCACTTTCATTTTGTTATGTACAAAAATAACTATAAAACTCTATATAGGCTACTGCATAAATAAAATTAATAATAATAAAAACACAACAAAACTATGTTGCATCGAGAGGTTATTTGTCAGCAAAAGTCCGCCGGATGACGCATATTATTTTGACATGAAAACTAAAGATCGTACTTTTGCTTTGTTGTATGCCTAATCACAGACTGGTGTTGTTTTAGTATCATAGAGATACTATTATAGTTTTATATATATATATATATATATATATGTGTGTGTGTGTGTGTGTGTGTGTGTGTGTGTGTGTGTGTGTGTGTGTGTGTGTGTGTGTGTGTGTGTGTGTGTGTGTGTGTGTGTGTGTGTGTGTGTGTGTGTGTGTGTGTGTGTGTGTGTGTGTGTGTGTGTTTTAGTATGAGAAACAGTAGGCCACACACTGTTCATTTACAAATACAATGTAATCTTTTTTAGCAGGCTCCTCCCCCTAGTGGCTGGTGTCATGTTTCGTATATTTTAAAATACTATGTAAAACTATATTTTATATAAAGTACATTTGTTATACAGTGAACTACAGAGAAGTGAATTTCATTTTTTGAAGTGATTTTTTGAGTGTCTTCTTTAAAAAGAGACCAGCCTTAGGTCTGCATTAAAGCATTCAGGAATTACAACCATTTGAGTTTGGATAGTGTTTCACATCTTTTTTTTATTTTTTTATTTCTTTATTTGATATGGGAAAAAAAAAACAGTATTGGACAAACCAGATACATTGTTTTTTGTGTTATAGCAAAACTGCTAATTTGCAAGACTTGCTACACACTTTCACAAAACACAGTACAAAAACAGTACACAAACAAAAACAGTACACATCTATGCTCAAAAAGAGCAATGAAAATTAATATTTTGAAATAACTCCTGTATTCTGTATTGAGTTATTGAGGTAATCTCATAAGAATGTAGTTGAATTTTAGTGACTGTTCTGCACACACTCTGAATGGTAATTTAGGGGATTCAGTCTTGCATTTAAATGCGGTTGTCATTTCAACAACAACACTGTGTGTACGCGCCGCGGTCTTGTCGGCGTGCTCGACTTGCTGACCAGCAGCACATATTAAAGATTGATCAATGTGGGTGACAGATTCTCTAGAAATAGAGAAGACTGAAGAGGGGAAACGATACTGCCAAGAGGAAGACCGTCACAGGGTTCAGGAAATTAATTGTTGGATGGGCCGCACTGTTACCAGCTGGCAGGATGTGTGTGAAACTGCCTGCGTCACGAGATGATGGTTCTGTGGAGAGACCTGACAGAGGCAGAAGAAGCATTTCATTCAGGCTGCTCAATTAGCTCACATCTTCCCAGATTGTATTTACGGATCCACCCTGCTTACGGACACTGTCATCACTACATGCTGCAATAGACACATGTGCAAGAGAGAATGTGCCCAGTTTGACCTGCCTACGTGTCAAATATCCCACAATTACGAAATAGACAGAGATAACCTGAATTTCAAATTCAGTGCAAATTTATGTTTTATAGTCCACCTGTAGTCTATAATTGTATCCCTTAAAACTCATCTTTGATCACCAAAATGACATATTTAAATGTTTTTTTTTTCTTTGAAACTAAATTCTCAATAAAATAGCTTCAATGTAACTAAACCCGTGCTACATTTAGTATACACAGAACCATGAATATGCAAATCTGCCCCGCCTCCACTCACTCGCACCAGCTCAGAGATCCACTCGGTTGGTCAACTTACTGAGGTAAACGCTGCACAATGGTATCGCTCTTTACAACGTCGGACACATAACGGAAATTACCGGTAATATGACTAGCCTTTTGCTTGACTCAAACAGCTAATAGTGTGTTGCTAATGTTCGCCATCTCAGCATGCCTGCATCATCAGTATCCTCAGAAAGCTTTGAACAACTCAGAACGTCAGTGGAGAAAGCCATATAGTTCATCATAACCTTGTAATATACATCATACACCCGCTATATTGCTAAATCTACCCGATTTTTCATGTACCGGGATAACCTGGCATCTCTCGAGACCCTCCTGCTAGTTCGCTGTTAATGATATGCGAAAGCCCGCCGGAGTGTTGACCTGATTGGTTACAAGTTTGTGACATCAGAAACACCATCGATCTCAAACCGCGTTTTTGAGACTGTCTTTAGATCTGCAGTTTTAAGGAGAAAATACTCAGCAATGCTGTTGACTTTTGAATTTGCACATGGTTTGTCACATTAAAAACACCACATAGACATATAAACATTAAAAGCTGGACTTTAATCCTATAAAGCCTACTGTATTGTATTTGATAGGCAAATTTCTAAGGCTACAAATGGTCAACATGATCAAAAACCTGCTGTACACAGTCTACGACATGCCTTCTGTTGTTTGATTGACAGCTTATCATTCTTTAACAAGTAAAAGGCCTTTTAATTGTAAAAATGTCCCCCTTCAGGCCATGGAGCACGTAAATATAAGTGTCATGGTGCAGTAAGGAGATCTTTTGCAGCAGTTTTAATTCAAACAGGTAAAATGCACGTGTAATGATCATTGTATTATATGTTTTGCCTCCCACATCTGTTATACCCGAACCAGAAACCATGGATTAATAGCGATGTTCGTGCAGCTCTCAGTGTGCGGACCTCTGCTTTTAATTCCGGGAGTGCGGAGGGACAAAAACAAGCAAGTTATGCCCTCCGAAAAACTATCAGAGCAGCAAAACGCCAGTACAGGGACAAGATTGAAGGACAGTTCATCACCACCGACTCTAGAAGCATGTGGAAGGGAATTAACATCATCACGGACTACAAAAGGAACACTAACAACACAGTGAACAACGCTGCCTCTCTCCCAGATGAGCTAAACACTTTCTATGCTCGTTTTGAGGGAACTAACACCCCCCTCGCGAAGAGAGTTCTCGCGGCGGAAGCTACAGAGGTTAGTACACTCTCCGTCTCTGTAGCGGATGTAACCCGATCTTTCCGACGGGTGAACATCCGTAAAGCCGCGGGTCCAGACGGCATTCCGGGCCGCGTCATCAGAAAGTGCGCGAACCAACTTGCTGGTGTTTTCACGGACATTTTCAATCGGTCCCTCTCCTTGTCGATAGTCCCCACTTGCTTCAAAACGTCCATCATAGTACCTGTACCGAAGCAAACCAATATCACCTGCTTAAATGACTGGTGTCCTGTTGCTCTGACCCCCATCATCAGTAAATGCTTTGAGAGACTAGTCAGAGATTACATCTGCTCTGTTCTACCTCCCTCACTGGACCCACTGCAGTTTGCATACCGCAATAACCGCTCCACTGATGATGCTATTTCATCTACAATACACACTGCTCTCTCCCACCTGGAAAAGAGGAACACATATGTGAGAATGCTGTTTGTAGACTACAGCTCAGCATTCAACACCATAGTGCCCTCCGTGCTTGATGTGAAACTCCGGGCTCTGGGCTTAAACAGCTTGCTGTGCAGCTGGATCCTGGATTTCCTGTCAAATAGACGCCAGGTGGTTAGAATGGGCAGCAACATCTCCTCATCACTGACCCTCAACACTGGAGCCCCACAGGGCTGTGTTCTCAGCCCACTCTTGTACTCCTTGTACACAAATGACTGCGTGGCAACTCACAGCTCCAATACCATCATCAAGTTTGCTGATGACACGACGGTGGTAGGTCTGATCACCGACAATGATGAAACGGCCTACAGAGAGGAGGTGCTCACTCTGACTCATTGGTGTCAGGAGAACAACCTCTCCCTCAACATCAGCAAAACAAAGGAGCTAGTGGTCGACTTCAGGAGGAACGACAGAGATCACAGCCCCATCACCATAAATGGAGCTCCGGTGGAGAGAGTCAGCAGCTTCAAGTTCCTCGGTGTCCACATCACAGAGGAACTCACATGGTTCGTCCACACTGAGGCCGTCGTGAAGAAGGCTCATCAGCGCCTCTTCTTCCTGAGACGGCTGAGGAAGTTTGGAATGAACCGCCACATCCTCACACAGTTCTACACCAGCACTGTCGAGAGCATCCTGACTGGCTGCATCACTGCCTGGTATGGCAATACTACCAGTCGTAACCGAAAAGCCCTGCAAAGGGTAGTCCGCACTGCCAGCCGTATCGTCGGAGGTGAGCTTCCCTCCCTCCAGGATATATATGATATATATAAGAAAGCTCGGAGGATCATCAGAGACTCTAGCCACCCGAGCCATGGGCTGCTCTCACTGCTACCATCAGGCAGGCGGTTCCGCAGCATCAGGACACACACCAGCCGACTCCATGACAGCTTCTTCCCACAAGCAATTAGATTTCTAAACTCTTGATCCCTCATGATCAATAACCATAAACAGTCTAACTGTCAACATAGCACAACATAACCCTACCGCATATTACATATATATATATATATATATATTTCCACCTTACGTGTATCTATTCTATGCATATATACCTCTTTTAGATATTGTATATCGTTTATTGTACATTGTATATTATATTATTATTTATTGTTTTGTTAGTGTATATGATACTGTGAGT